ACGTAGAGATTATTAATCTTGGCTCGATCTGTTGTTTGAACAATTTAGTTCAGACCACGAGAAATTCTCAATGGAAACAACTCATTACCTCATTTGATCTAAAGTCATGAACTTGAACTCTCCTACGTTTAATAAGAACGATATTTGAGATATTCAATTATTCAAGAAAATCAGACAATCAAAATAACGAAAAAACAAATCATAGCATAATACTTGAACGAATCTCAAATAGTGTAATGTTTGGCATTATGTATACAATAAAAAACATAATAAAACATAAATCAATGAAAATCTTTTTTTTTAATGTTTTGCATTTGTAGGTCATTGTTTATACAGTTGCAGCTTTAAGTATTGAACGTTATATTGATGCACGTTCAATTTTACCAGCTAAATTTCGTACATTAATTACATTTGGATTATTAGTTCTTATATGGACACTTGGTCTTTTATTACCATATCCATTTATTTTTTATACTTATCTTGCTGAAACTACTAACAGTATTTATATTAATAATAAAAATTCAACAACAACAATATATTCATGTCAATCATATCTAACAGAAAAGGAATTACTTGTGCATGAAATAATTTTATATGTCACTGCTTTTATAATACCTTATTCAATAATTGTTTTGTTTTCATTAAAATTACTTAAATTTTTACGTGTTTGGTTAAAACGTAAAGAAAAGTTAACAAGTACAAGTATAACAAGAAAACGAACTCGTGGTGTTAAACTTGTATTATGTATTGTTTTATCATTTCTTATATGTTTTACACCATTTTGGGCATTTAAATTTTATACACGTTTTATTGTTGATGAAAATGTTGTACGACGACCATTATTACAACGTATTTTATCTTATTTACATTTACTTGTTGTTTTAATAAATCATTTTGAAGGAATACTTAATCCATTATTTTTTATTGTATTAACTGAACGTTTCTGTTTAACATTTTCAAAACATCGACAACGACAAAAAAGATTATTTGGTACACGATCATCTGTTGTCATATTTAATGGAGGTAAAAAATCAACAAAATCATCATTAACATCAACAATACCAGGAAAAAATATAGAAATTAATGGTCTTTTACTATTAAATAATAATCAATTAGAAGATAATAATCAAACATCAGCAGTTTCTCTATGACTTTAATTATTTTTTTTAAATACGAAAAACAAACAATTATTAATATATTAGAAAATATTATATATGGCATGATCGTATTTATTCAATTCTTAAAATGATTTGATAATCGAAATACCAGAAAAAAAAAGAAAATATATGTCCTGTGTAGTAAATATAATAATGTGAATGAAACATGAAACATTCCAATTACAAATTAAAATATTTGAAATAAACTGATATCATTATACGAATCTATAATCAGATTGTATTTTTTTTTCTTTGCTCGTTCATATTAATAATGTATCTTATTAAAATCAAAAGTGTCTTTTTTTTTATGCATGGAATTTCATTTTAATTGAAACGCAAAACAGTATTTAAAGAAATAATAAATGAAATCAATGTTGTTCATATGTCGTAAATAAAAAAAAAAGAAGCATAATGTAGTAAAACATAATTATTCAATGAAATGAAACAAGAAATAGAGAAGAATGCATTTCAAACAATGAGCAAAAATGAATAGAATAATAATATATGAAAGACAAAATAATTATCATATTGTCAATCATTACACATTATGTAGTTTAGAAAAAAAAATCTAGAGCATACTGCTAGGAATTAATTCATCTGAAAGAAATTTATTCAAGCAAAATGAAGATTCTTCAACTAGTTGACTTTATAATGTGAAGTAGTAAATATTTATTTACGTAGCAAATATCATGTTTATTGAATAGATAAAGCTAAGACAACGGCAAGAACGCTTAAAAAAAGACAAAACAAGAGTAAATAGAATATTGGTGTGAATATAGGTGTGAACATAGGCGTGAATGTAAGTGTGGGCGTAAGTATTCCCTTTACCTCCACACTCGTACCCAAAATGAGATCCTGATTGTCATCTGATACTGAATGGCCTTAGATAGGTGTCTACTTTCGAATGAAATACTTCCTTCATTAATATGTATTATAATGGTATGACAATTATTAAGAAATTCTATGTTAAATCCACACTAACAGCTTTCGGTTACTCAAAAAATCATTTAATTTATTATTGGTTATTGTATAACAATTTTACGGTTTTTACATTTTAAATTTAACTATTTGCCATGAAAATTGAAGAATAAACCAGCACCATCTTAGTTGACTTTTCAATGAAAAGGTCAACTCCAACATATATATATATATAATAGGCATTCATTATTTAGATAGAGGCTTCCTGCAATTTTTGCATTATTAAAAAGTCAGAAAAAGATTCCAATTATTTTATTAATGAAACTTGATTAGAGCGGAAAAATATTTACATTAAGCTTCATTCATGATAAAAACAAAAATAGTTAATCAATAGAATATCACACTTTTAGTGAAATATAATACCTAATTTGAGCATGATTTCTTCAATAACTGTACTTTTTCAATGAAACCATGAGATGTTGTTAAGACACAAAAATGTCGTAAATATAACAAAAATCATTGCATTTGTTTTTTTACACCTTCACAGAGGTAGACGGGAGTTCTGCCTTGGCTTTTTCCCTGAGGTCATGACTCAGTCTCAAGTTATTTTGCTTTTTTTTTTAACTTGATTTCTCCTTTTTTCTTTGGCGTTCTTATGAGACAAAAATATTTCATGCATCAGATAAGCATGATTCAACTTGGTAAAAGACGAAAAATCATGCATGCATTTTATTCTTTTTCTATGAGTAGTGTCTCGCTGAAAATTCGATCTCATTGAGTAAAGAGAACCTTGAATAAAGAAGAACGAAATTATAAATCTAGCTGTCATTTTTTTTTATTCATTCTCTTCCTATTTCGTTTCAAAGAAACACAACATTACGAGAATATTCAGTGTCGTAGAAAGGTAAACGGCTGCATTTGACGTTATTAACAACATAAAGCATTTACATCACCTATATTCTTCACATGGGCAATAAACCAAGCGGACTAGACAACCAAAGAAAATTATCAGGTGGGAGCAAAATATTAAGCACTGATATCTATGAATCAAATTGGATTGAAGCCTTTGAAAAATCGTTTGTTTTTGTTTGGTGTGATGCATCAATTGGTGCAGAAAATAGTGTTGATGATGATAAAAATACAATAATGCAATTAGCACGTATTGTAAATCAAAATCGACAACTTGTACATACATTTAATGAATTACATGCTTGCCGAGAATTCATTACACATGTTGATAATGTATGTCTGATTATATCAGGTTCAATGGGTCAAGAACTTGTACCATTAGTTCATAATCTTGATCAAATACATTCTATTTTTATATTTTGTTTTGATAGAGAAAAGCACATTGAATGGTCTTCACCTTATCGAAAAGTTCGAGGAGTATTCAATAATATAAGTGATATATGTGAATCATTAAAGCCTTATATTAATACGCAATCATTAGTTGATTATGATCGAATTGAATTTGATATTATTAGTAATGAAGCACATTCATCAGCAACAAATGACGATCAATTATGTTTAATCTATTCGAAATTAAATAAAATAATTTTATTTAATATGCATTCATTAGATCACGGTAAAAAAGATATGATTACTTATTGTCGAAATCAATATCAAAGTGAATATCAAACAGAATTAATAAATGATTTTGAACAAAATTATTCTAAACATAGTTCTATATGGTGGTATACAAAAAATTATTTTTTTCAAGGTATTATTAATCGTGCATTACGTACACGTGATTTATATGTATTATGTTCAATGTATCGATTTATACAAGATTTAGATTTAAAACTTTTACAATTAAATGAAAGTCAACGAACAACAACTAATTCAATTAATCTTTATTTTGGTCAATTTTTATTCAAACCACATTTTGATGAAATAACACAAAATCTTGGTGGATTAATGTGTATTAATCAATTTATATCTGCCAATCTTGAACCAAGTATTGCTGTTATGTATATTGAACAACAACAAAAATTAATATCAAATGGAAATATAATTCGTGTAGTTTTTCAAATACATATTGATCGAACAAAAGAATCCATTGTTTCATATGCAAATATTGGTTCTATAAGTCAATTTGTTCATGAAAAAGAATATCTTATATCAATGTTAAGTGTATATCGTATTGATAAAGTTGAAAAACTTCGTGATGTACCATCGGCATGGTTAATACGTATAACATTACTTAGTAAAAATGATCTACAATATAATAATTTAACACAAAATATTAATGAATATAAATTAGAAAAAATGAATTTAACAGAAGTTGGTTATACAATTATGAATCGTTTACATCAATTTAAATCAACTAATAAATTATTTAAACAAGTATTATATAATAATCCACAAGAACTTCGAGAAATTATTTTACATTATAATATGGGTATTATTTATGATGGTATAGGTCAATATGGAAAATCGTTAGAGGAATATCGAAAAGCATTACAAATTGCAAGAGAATATATTCCAAGTTGTAATCAAAAAGATGATTTATGTTTAGTATCATTATTTTCAAATATGGCCGTAGTTTATGAACAACAAAATCAGTTTGGTCATGCATTGACACATGCATTTCGTGCACTACAAATTATTATTAATATTCAGAATGATTCTGTATTAAAAAAAGAACTTGAAAGTTCATGTTATTATAATCTTGGTTCAATACATGATCTAGACGACAAATTATCTGAAGCAAGAGATTTTTATGAACAAGCACTAAGAATTCGGCAAGAATATTTACCGTTAGGTCATCCAGATATAACGTCTTTACAAAGACTTATTACTTTACTTACAGAAAATCGATCTGATGTTTTTTAATGTAAATAATAATTTATATAATTACGAATGAAAATTATGTGTGTGAAAATTTCTTTAAGTTTCAGAATATAAATTTTATTCGAAATGTTTGATAGAATTTTTTTCTTAACTATAAAATGATGAACTCGCTTTAACGAGCATCAAAAATGTGTTTTATGAATTGTAAAAACAAAAACAAATATGTTTTGTAGTTTTAAAATAAATGTATTTTGAATTTTGTTTTTTAATAAAATGTCTAAAAGTGTTTATTGTTGCTACATTTTGAACAAGCAAGATATTTAGAAAAAATAAATTAATTGAAAGATACATAAGAAATCGAACTTTTCCTTTATGGTTATGAGTAACCTTTACTGCCTTTAGTCCAAGGAGAATAACAACTAAAGGGATAAATATTGTTCATAGCTGTAAAGGATAAGTTACACAAGGATATTTTTTTCACTGTAGATCGAACTCTATCTATTCATAAAACAATATCATATAACGTCGTCAAGAAAGAAACAGCTGATTCTTTTTTATGAATTTTAAATTAAAAAAAAAATCAGTTATTGATTTTGATTTTATTTTTAATTAAAAAGTCAAGGGCAAAAACTCAAGTTTTTTCTGCTTTTCTGTCAATTTTACCAAAAAAAATCAAGAAAGTTAGACAAATCTGAATAATCGGAAAAATCAAAAACATCACCTCTTTATAATCATTTTTGGTAAACATCATCCTCTAAATTTACGCATTGTCTTTTGACAGCTAGCTTCTGTCTACAGTCGTGAGTGTTAAGAAAATACTTCAAATCAAGACAGAAAATCGTAAACATCAGAATTTTTCAATAACTGATTTTTAAAATTTTTTCGATTAAATGAATCTTTTGTATAACACGACTTAAAAGGAGTGTTGAAGTACAAAGGTACAAGTATGCGTCCTTCTCTCTTCCCTCAGGGATCGCGTCAGACGTTGTTGATATACGATCACATACCTTATATCTATAATATCTCGTTATAATGCATGAAGTACTTCCTTATTGCATTTCTCGGGGATAAAATATAAGAATTGCGAAGACATATGTCTCAAAATATATAGAATAAAACAATTTTCCCGTGGTTAGCAACAGTAGCTGCATCGTGTTACTTATTTTAATCCCTCAGGGAATGCGCTAACACATTTTTCCAGATGATAGCTATAATCTTTTTTTGTATAAGACTATATAGTTCAATCAGTCAATCATTTTTTTGTTTTGGATCTATATATAACATTAGTTTAAGGAGTGAAATGAAACTTTCGGATCATCCTTTAATTATAAACTTACGATTCGAATTGATCAATGATTCACAAGAAATATAAATACAAAGGTTTTTGTTTATAAGATTTACCTAATCCATATGAGTAGTTAATGTTTATTGTTGTGGAATATATTTGTCTCAGTTCCTGAAGTAAAATGTTATCTAAAAAAATTATTTATTTATAATCTTAGTTCTAGTTAAAAATGAACGTATAGAATCAATATGTTGACAATAAAAAGATACAGTCCTTCTCATCAATAAAATACTCGCTTTCAATTAGTTTTCTTTGACAGTATCTTGCATTATTTAAAGATTGTCTACTCCAACACTATTCTCCATTTATAAAAACATTGCACTTTATGTGTTCCCAAAATAAGATCATGGGTATCTCACTGAAAAGTTATGGTATAGTAAATTTGATATGAATCGTTTGTAAACCAGTATGTATCGTATTTTAAAAATTATTAGTCAATTTTTTCGATATATTATTTAAATTCTAAAATAAAGTTTTTGATTAATTTCCTTTTTTTTTGAACAGTTAACACATAATCATTATTTAATATGTCTATAAAATTATATTTTCTGATCTCACTACAATTGAGCGTAATTTTATCAAATTTCAATCTTTTCTCAAATACTTCATTCCTATTCGATTAATAACAACTCATTAATATTGTTTGTATCTATTAATCTACATATTTAACATTGAGAAAATAACGACAATGATTAAATACAGAGACATACTGATACAAAAATAAAAAATGAATTCAATTCAATTTAAATTCATCCGAAGAATAAGATTCAATACTAATGACTAGATAATTATTTATGGCACTGATTTAAATGCAAAGCCATTTTTAATAAAAATTAAGTAAAAAATTCCATTTTTTCTAAGTATTTTATTTTCTAGGCAAAATATTATATATAGTTTGATGAACATACAAATTTTGTTCTATAAAAATACATAAATATGTCAGTAGAAAATTTATATACACAATTATTGTCTTAAGAGCATTTTAGTTATTTTTCGTGGTCACCCTTATTTTCTTTTTTCACCTAGAAATATATCCATTGTTGCTGGAGTTGGTTTACAAAATTTCAATCTAATTGCTATAACAATTATGTGTGTCTGCAATTATATTCTTTAAAAAAGTTTGCACAGTTACAAAATCCATTTTTTCATTCTGATGCATTGTCCCGCAAAGTTACTTTCCATATTTCAAATTGAAGTTTCTGCATCATTAGAAAAACTTTTGTCTTTTCTTGGATACCCTGCTGATCCATTTCCAGTTCATCGTCGTCAGATGTAGATATATATATGTCGTATCGAAGTTAGCATGTTTATCGAAGTTACAACTTCGATGCTTCCTCTTATCGAAGTTTAACTTCGATAGAATTTTTTTATAGAAGTTACAACTTCGATGGCACTGGTTATCGAAGTTACAGCTTCGATGACATTTGTTATCGAAGTTATTTTGATTTACTCAAACCGTACGTAGATGATGATCCAAATAAAATCATTAAAAAATTATTTAAGATTTGTCTTTCAAAGAAACAAAAGACATATTTGAATCAAAAA